ACAACTACACGAATCAGGGGACACAATATCATCGCTGGGATACTGCAGCAGGCTGCAAGAAGCACTCAGCCGTACTAGGACAGCAGAGTATACGACTGTTTTACGGCTCGAACAGTATACATCTCACGTCAATAAAAGCACAACAGTTGCAACAAAACATTTAACGATAACGATGCACAACGACCCTGGGGTGAGTCGTCAGAGAGGGTGCTAATCATTGGCTGGAGGTAATTCGGTGACACCTTCTACAAGAGTATATTACCTCCATATTCTTTTTTACAGGCTTGCACCTATGTATCCATTCGTAAGTACAAATTGTTCTGAATTGTTGTCATAGTATTCTATGGGAATAAATAAGACAGAAATGTTATAAACATAGCTATTTGAAATTTGATTAAAAAGTTACAGTGGAAATATAAAAAACCTCTTATGTAAGCTGTCTTTAATTTATTATTCTATCTATTTTAATTTTGCACCATTAATTTTCTGTATTACAGTAGAGTCTAGTTATATTGCACATGAATTTTTAATCACGCTAGTACTCTTACATGATCATACTCTATGAAGATGATACACTTCTATCTCCTCTGCTTCTTTAAACGATAGCTTGGACGTCTGAAAAATTTTCCATTTTGCAGTCTCGTCCGCGGCAATATAACGAGAGTCTACTGTAGTAAAAACTTTAAATTATTATTCTACCAAAATTTTGATTTTGTTTTATTTTTGTGAATGCACCATTAATATTTTGCAAAATTTTCCAAAATTTCCTAAAGACAGAAGCCCAGTAAGATTGAGTGATCTTGAAGGCCAAAATATTGATCTTCCTCCACCTATGCATTTTTAAGGAAAATAATTATTCAACTATTGACAAACTTGTATTCCATGTGTATAAACAAACTAAATGTAAATATTATTGATTTATTTTTTACTATATATAAAATTAATTGGAAACCTTTTATCATTTCACTAGTGTTTTATAATTTTGTTTTAATTTTGTTTTAAATCTTCAAATGTAATATTTTTTTTTGTTTATAGCTACAAAATATACTGATTTTAAGAAACTTGTGAGCAATTTAATAAATATAAAAAACATTACTCTCCAACTTTACTGTATTATTTATATAAAGTGAAAAAACTTGGACCTGCTAGATAGCTTTACTTCTCAAACAAAAATAAACTCTAAGTCACTGAATGTTTTTGTAGAAACTGTTGTTATAAAATATGGTTTTTAAAATGTTTCAACTCTATTGTTTTCTGTTAATGTTTGTATTATAAACAAAAAACCTTATTCGCCGAGGCATTTGATCATCTCCCCTTTATTCCTTTATCCTTTGATCTTTGCGTATATGTATACACCAGTGTTCAGATTTCTGTTTTTGTCAGCAATTTTCTGTTCATATCATTTTTACTTGTCATGTTTTCTCTGTCTTCGCTTCCATTTTTTAATCATGCACGCGCCTTTTTTGCATCCTTTTTTCTCTCCATTACTCGCCCTTTCTCCACTCATTCTACTCATTCACCGACTCACTCTCGTCGTGCTTTCATTTTTCTTTGTTTCTCTTTTCGATCTTCGTGCCGACGATACGATGAATTATTTATGAACGGCACCCAGAAACAAGTCGAATCGATCACGCTTGAAGGACCTGGCGCCTTCTTCGTGTTTGATACATATCCTCGCCTATTAATCTCATCGAGTTACCCACGAAAGAAAGAAAAACAATTATTAACCCTTTCGTCGCGGTGTGCCCTTGGTGACAATCGTGAATTTATCGCTGAAACTTTATTAATAATTTGCTTAGTACGAAATTATTATGGTAAAAATTGATATTAATTTAATATTTAAACAGTTAACGTTTACATATGCTCTTTACAATTAATGCATATACCGATCGAAAATTTGAAATCGTTTAATTCGTTATTGCATTATACAATATTGTTTAATCAAAGTGAATCCTAGCATATTTAATTTGCATATCGAAAGCCTGTTAATATACCTTTTGGTACCAGCGATTATTGGGCGAAAATTAATTAACCCTTTGCACCCAGGATGCCAGTTGCACTGATGCAATAAAATTTGTGTTCTTTATTTTATGCAATTTGTATCATAAATTTTATCTACAATTACTTAGTTGATTGTTGGAATGACATGGTAAAACGCTTTCGAGTGTAAAGGATTACAATTGAGTCTCGTTATGTTGTCGTGGATGGGGCTGGAGAAGTGGACAATTCTTCAGGTTTCCAAGATCTCATTTTGAGATAGAAATGTATCATTTTGAAATTTCGTGTCTAATTTTAATGACATTCTCAGGGGTCAAAGTGACCCTGTATCTGACTAACGCGTCGGCCAAAATATCCGTCCTTCGAAGATTAAGATCGAACTAGCGCTCGTTTCGGCAGTCGTTAAAGGACGATCGCGACTAGTGATTAAGGAAAATCTTCTCTTGACATCTGTCGAGAACGAAGATTGTGATATCTGTATTGTTTAGAATTCTGATACGCGTTGTATTGTTGTTAATAAACCGTTTTCTTGTGTCCTGTTAATCCCATGTAGTGATTAAGTATGTCCTGCGGCGGCATTCCCGGGTGTAATATTCGTGTCAGAAGTCACTATTTTATCTATAGATTTACGGGCTTAATTGTTGGGATGAAGCAATCTAGGCGTGTAACATTACACAACTGTATATAAACAGTTACATAAGTAAATAAAGTAAATAATAAAATTATTTAATAGCTGTTATTTCTGAAAACATCTCTTGGGATCTGTTGTTTTATTGCATAAATAAATCAGATGTAAGAGAAGATCTAAGCTTCCATTTACTATATCAAGAAATATTAAATGAAATTATTTTTTATTATTACTTCTTTATTTCACTGTTAAGTGTTATTTAATTTTCTTCAAAATTATGAAATCAATTTCAAAATTTTATTAATTATTGTATTAATCCTGAAAGGTGTCCCAGGAATCTTAATCTGATGTTGAAATTTTAAAATTATTAAAACCCTTACAGTGTCTTTTCTCCCGTGTGCAAATTGTTCCTTTCTAAAATTCTTTTCAAATGTAAAACTCGAGGGAATGTTGAGCGAAGGAATTCGCAACAGCGACTAACCGTGGAGAAATTTTCGACCGACTAGGAAATCGTATCTCTATAAGCAATGACTGGAAACACATTTGCTTGCTGTGACGAGTAGAACGAAAGAGGTTAGGAAAAGAGGACGAAAAAGAAGGGCCGTATGAACGACGAATAGGAAGCAGAAAGACGTTGGTGTTTCACGTGTCGTACGTCGGAACTTTCTCGGGGTTCCCTCGCATGGGTAACGATGCGAAGCATAAAATGCAGAACAGAAATACAGTAAGAAGGTCCTCGTCGTCAGTGTCGTCGAATATTTCAGCGGAATAATAAAATGAACCTTTTCTTTTGTGCGTTTCCATCGTTTCACCTACTTTTCTACTTTTCCTCCGGTATCCTTTTTACCATTTTCATTCGCCAGCATCGTCGACAGATAACTTTATCCTTAACATCATAATACCGCGTGCTCTTTACCTTTTCTGCTTTCATTGACTGTCAACTTTTTATCTCGTCGAATATGTCGTTAAGAATTATGTTACTTATGAGTGAAGATAAATAAATGAAAAATTTATCGATAAGTATTTTTCTTATTAACCCTTGAACAGTGGAACTTGGGTCAAACGTGGCCCAAACAAGGATATTAACCCAAAGTTAAATATATAATTTTTAAACAAAAAGGCTTTATATATTTGAAAAATAATTTTTGTAAAATTTAGGAAATGAAAATAATGTAAAATACAAAATGAAATTATAATTTGGGCTGTGATAGTTACAGGGGTGATAATAATCTTTGCACTATAATTTAATAAACATTGCAGTCTTTTTAAGAAAATAAAATAATTTATGGAATTCTTTGCGATTAAAATTATCTTTCAAGGTGATAATCCGTATTATAAATTAAGTACGAAGTAATCGATCGTAATGCTGCCGTTGCATTCAGCGTAAATTATATAATATAGTGCTCCTTGTCAACAAGGGTAATTGTCATCCTAGAGTAGTAGAATTATCTTACAGATTATAGAAGATTACTACTGGTTCTATTCTAGTTAAACCTCTCATCGTCAGTCGTATAACTTTAAGATAACAGGAATGATGGCCCAAGTCCGAATTGATCTTGGTGGCCTCATGCGGGAAAACTGAGAAACTCCGGACGCTCCTTGTCGCGCCTGCATAGAAAGACAAGGACAGAGCGGGAGTCAGGCAGTCATGTTGGCATAAAAAGGACCTTTAGCGATTTCGTAGTTCAAAGATTTTGAGGCGAGGAAGCAATATTTTCTCATGATTCTTTTTCTAAAATATTCTTTGGATAATTGTACAGCGACGTACAAAGTCCGATTTTGCAATTTGGCTTCTAAAACCATTTTAAAAATATGAAGAAAAAAAAAGGATTTGTTTTATTATTTTTCCCAAATAGCACTCTGTACGTCGATCGGTGTACTATTTCTGTCTTGCGTTTCCTGTTGATCCTTAAATTGCTGTTACAAATTAAAAACTTCCTTTCTCACTTAAAAATTACAAAATAAATTAAAAATTTAGAAAGGATTAAAAGTTTTCCTTACTTTTTTTTTAAGCTCTTACGTAAGGATCCTACGATAAGATTTTTGGCACATGAAAATGTTGTGTTCACCCACACTCTTTGTACATTTAAAAAAAAATTAATTTTAATGAACTTCTCACAAAAATTACTATAAATTTTCGCTAATGGAAAGGTAGTAACCTCTTTCACTACGTTTGTAACTACTGCGCAGCATTTGTTGCAAATTAAATTATGGGCGTATAATAAATTTCTAATGAATAACTAATGAATGTTTTTTTTAATGATTTATTTTTGTGTTTAAAGTCAAGTTGTTTGCTTCCGTTTTTAAAAATTAAAAATTTTATGAAGAATAAAAATACATATATGAAGGTAAATGAAATTGTAGCAAAACATACCTGCGGAATAGAGGAGGCTCGTGTACGAGTAGATGAAAATCGTTTTCCGAGCACACCTCACGGTCACGATGGTGAACCGCGCATTTGAAGCTTCTAGTTCGTTTTCCACTCATCTGCAATTGAAATAAAAAATCAAATTACGATAATGTCATGCTAAAAATTTTCCTCTATACTACCCTCTACTTTAGGGTAAAAAATATATTTGTATCCTCTTCTGCGCAATTTGAAATTTCTATGTAGTTATTTAAAAAATTAAGTATACGTTATTTATTATAATTAATATTTTGCAAGCTCAACGAGTCGCGTTTATTTCCAGCATATTGAAAATAGCATGTGGGGCTATTTCAGAAAAAACTGAAAGGATTGTAAATTTTAGTAACTCAGGTCAGTAGTGCAACTGAGGCGGAGGGGGAAATTAGATAAGTCAGCTGACATCCATATAAAGAATCTAAAATCCTAGTTATTAATTAATACTAGAAATAAACAAAAATGAAAAAAGTAGATAAAATACTGTCATGGTGCTAATAAGGTATGAGAAAAAATGTTTGTGGACCTACCCCCTATCTATAGGGCAATCATGTTCGTGCCATGGAGTCAGATGGACTCTATTACTCAAATAGAGGTATGTGGCAACAAAATAAAATTAAGAATTTTAATTGAAGAAGAAATAGAATTTTAATATTTTGAAAATGAAATTTCAAGAAAGTGCCACGTACAATATTTATATGAAAATTTTCGAATAGCTTCGTTTAGTGGAACAAATTGAAGGGCACAAAAGGTATTTGCAGTTCTTGGCACGACCTGCTCGAGGGAGCCCGGTTCAGTGTTCTTTTAGCTGCGGTGTCTGATATTTGGATCAGGATCCGTTAACGCGGTTAGGCAAATGCAAGCAGGAACGCTAGCAAACTCCTTGAGCTAAGTCCTGTACATAGAGCTGCTCTGTACCATAAGGATACGGACAAACATTCACGAACCCGAGTATATACCGTCTTTCGCGTGCAGTTTGTACCAATGTAGACAGAGGAAAGTGTATAGACAGTGACGTAAGATTTAGTTACATTACTATCCATCGATCTGGGAAACTCTTGTTATTCCATTTACTGTTCTAGGCGACAGCTTATTTCGAGTATAAGGTTCAAAGATTAACGAGCTCGTTATTGGCTCGAGTTACTTAAGTAAAGATATGCTGTCTTTCTGATTATAGCGCCAACTCTGTTAAAAAAGGAATTATTTAAATATTTAGGTATATCAAGTTGAGTAATAGTTTCTTATCTGCCCAGTATCTCTGATATTTTTCAAGTTTGAATATATTGAAAAAGATAAAATATTGTTTAAAAAAGTGTTACAAACAATTTAAAATCTTAAAGGTATCCCATGCAAATGAGCAAGCTTATTCTTAAAACAGCTGGAGATAGAAAAAAGTTGGATTTTTCTTTATAAGTGCAACGATGCACCTAAAATATGAAAATGCACGCTTTTCATAATGCAACTACACGTTACCTTTATGTAGATCAGTTTTTAAAATCATTCTGCATAAACAATTGTTTTGCATGGAATTGTATGTTCTTTTTTAAAATATTTTAATAAAATGATTCATTTTAGTTGCTGTTTTTAAATTTTATTTAAAAATAATTATTTATTCTTTTGTAAATATAAATACCAAAATTTCGTGGAATTTTCCAAAGCGATTGAAGTGTGTGGGTGAACATCGAGACAAAGCACGATGGAGCAAGTTCTGTCCATGAACAACCAGCTGCCGGAAGCCCGCAGTGTTTCTTGCTCATTTGATTGCCAAAAGGAGGTGGTCATAAGGAAGGGTAGCACGAATGGTGTACGCCGTGGCCGATTAACTCGAGAAAGGATTTCTAGCCAACGAAGAAACTTAAATTTATCGTTACCCTCGAGTTTCTATTCGTATTCCACTCGTATTTCATGCAGTACATCACATATATTTTTTTTTTACAGATTCTTTACTTAAATTAATTTTTTGCGAATTGTTATTACAGTAGGCTCTCGTTATATCGCCATGTGAGCCATTTTACCTCTGCACAAATTTTCGAGCACATATCTTAACTTACTTCTACACTTCTACCTTTCTTACCCCCCTTCAAATGATGGTCAATACAGCGCCGTCCGCGGCAATATAACAAGAGTCTACTTTATATGTATACTGATATGAAATTGAATGCAAAATTTTATGTTTCTTTTCTAATCATTCAAATTTCTGATAAAATGCGGAAAATTATTTTTCTGAAAAATGGAATTACCTATATACAACACGTTAAAAAACAGGTTCTAATGAATACAGGTCACAAAATTAATATTGTCGACATCACAAACAATCCTCTGTTTTGCATGGAACAAGAAACTTTCCCGTTTCTGGTGCATTTGCGTGACATGATTACCCGTCCCCACTTGTTTACATACACACATTTCATAAGAGGATTGTTATCCCGTTCCATCAGACAATTGTTAGTTACACATCCTCGCGATCGCGAATGAACATTTACAAAGAGCATACATTTTTATAGTATGCTAAGGAATAACATCGTATTACTCAAATCTATAAATAATTTAATAAATAACAATAGCACTATATTAACAAAATTTCACAATAGTATTTATTACAATATTGTAATATTATAATATTTATTAATACTGATCAAAATATCTCTTAATGATTATTGAACATTTTTATATCACTTTACCCTTTGTTAATTAATTTTTCTGTAAATCACTATTTATTTATAACTAAAATAAATCAATTCTGTCTTTTCTAACAACTAGTAAAATTCTACAAAATGATAATCACCTTATAAAACTAAAATATTTTTGTGACTTTGATTGTTATTGAATTAATTTGATTAATTGATTCCAGTGTTAATTACAATAGTACCATAAAAGTTAATTTAATTTAATTTTTCTAGCAGTATTATATTTTACAAATTTTCAAAAGCATTGAAATATTGTTATTACACACGCGTCCATCAAAAGCTAACAATATGAACACATTCGTCTTTGAACTCCTTTAATTTAATGATTCTACTAGTCTGTTTGTAACTCATTCGTGTAATTATCACGGAAACGAGAGGACAGGTGCACGCACAATGCCAGTATAGTACTCTGGTTAATGAAAGACAAGAACGCGTAGCGTTTAACTTTACATATAGTAGTCTCTCGTTATATTGCCGCTAGCGTTGCTGTAGGAGCGGAAAATTTGTCAAGCTTCTAAACTCTGGTTTGAAAAGGGGAGAGGAGATAGAAACGTATCATATTCACAGACTATGGTGGTGGAAGGGTGGCATTAGTATTCTTTAAAATTCATGCGTACGTCGAATCGCTAATGTGGCAATATAACGAGAGCCTACTGTATTCCTTAAGCATATCCTACCTACGAAGGTTTTACTGGCAATGAAGCAGCGAAGATTCGTTGCCGGCCAGTGTCCGGCTAAGTAAGTAAATCTTCTACGTGAATTTACGATCCCAGGGGAGTCGCTTCGTGTGTCTCGTCGTCGTGGCCAGGATCGATAGCATCGCAGAAGGAGCCCAAGGGCTTGTTCTATTAATCTCGATCGTTTGCTACATGTTTATCGTTCTGCCGCAACGTATCCAGGATATTTAGAAGAATCTGACTTTAGGCCACGTCACTCGAAATCTCGTGCTCACTTTTTGTCGACGACTTGTGGATTCTACCATGAAATTAAATTTCTTGTTTACGGTTATCTCGGGCTTCGAAGTTACACGAGCGGTGCGCACGATAACACCGGACAATAATAGTAAAAATGTCCTGTCACCTCTATGGTATTAAGACCCTGAATTTATGAATATAAATGAATGTGGATTATGGGGGTTATAAGCGGGAGCATGGCGCCCAAGCGCGGGCGCCTGGGTCCCTCTTTCCCGTGATGGCCGCAAGGTGTCGCGCGAGTACTTTCTCGCAAGCGCTCTATTATAGAAGATCTGTGAATATAGAACCCAGGCGTCTGGGGCAGGGACTGTCCACGTCAGCCCCACTGACGAGTTATAGTGGACGGTTCCCGAGACGAAACGCCCATAATTTTCCGTCGGTATCCTACATGAATATAAAATAGAAATTGATACAATTTGATTTTGGTTACATCAAATCAGTTTCATTGATTTTTCCTGTAAATTGATTATAGGAATTATATTGTTGTGGTGCTATAAAGAGTATAGAAGTGATCTTGAGGACCTTATGTGGGGAAATGAAGAAACTGCGGACGGTTCTTGCCTCTGCACGCAGCGATGTAGGCATGGATTCAAATACAGCAATTTCGTAATTCAAAGATTCTGAGGCGAAGAATCAATATATTCTCATGATTCTTTTCCTAAAGTATTCTTCGTACAGTTATCCAGAACTTTACAGAGCCAAATTTCACAATCTGCTTCAAATCTTTATAAAAACTACGTTTTAGAGCAGAAAATTTTTTACAATTTTTCCCAAAAAGCGCTCTGTACGTCGGTGGATATACTTCTCCCGAGTATGAATATCATAATTATTATACGTTTCTCTCAGAATTGTGAGCAGAAAACGTGAATTACTTTTCCGTGTTGCTCGAGGAACTAGTGTCATTTCACAAGTTTTTACTATTTGAAGACTTCTTTACTATATAGCGTTAGAATATAAGATTTTCAGACAAATCAAGCCACTGAGATTGATAGTAACTTACAACGTAACTTGGGAAGACGTATAAGAACGTCGATGTCGCATGAACAATGGCAAGTTCGTTGAAGATCACGGATGTAATCGTCGGGTGATTGGTTAATCAATGTTTCTGGAGATTCTAAGTAACGCAACTGGAGATTGCTCGCGGCAAATGACTCCGTGGGACGTCGAACCGTTGCGGTTTCTATCGAACGGTAACAAAGATCGATGGGAAACGCGCGGACCGACGCCTTTCGTCGAGGGTCGGACAATAGGTGCAGAGTGCGCTATTATCGCGCGAACGTAGTAAATCCAAACCGACGAGTCAGCCCGTCGTAAACACGAGTACAGCCGGCCAGTTTAATTCGATTAGGGCACGATCATCGGACTGCTCGATTGTCCGGCAGTGAATTCCCTCGTTGCGCCTCCACCCTACGTTAACTTTGTGCT